CATGGTACTTGCATAAAAACAGACACACTGATCAATGGAATAGAATAGAGAACGCAGAAATCAACCCACACACCTACAGCCATCTGGTCTTTTACAAAGGCACCAAGCCTATACACTGGGGAAGAGACTGCCTCTTCAGCAAATGGTGCTGGGATAACTGGATATCCATTTGCAGGAAAATGAAACTAGACCCATACCTTTCACCATACACTAAAGTCAACTCAAAATGGATTAAAGATTTAAATATACACTATGGAACAATAAAACTTCTTAAAGAAAACATAGGAGAAACACTTCAGGAAGTAGGACTGGACACAGACTTCATGACTATGACCCCCAAAGCACGGGCAACTAAAGGAAAAATAAACAAATGGCTTTTTATATCAAACTAAAAAAATAAACAAGCTTTTTATATCAAACTAAAAAGCTTCTGCACAGCAAAAGAAACAACTAACAGAGTTAAAAGACAACCAACAGAGTGGGAGAAAATATTTACAAAATATACATCTGACGAAGGATTAATATCCAGAATATACAAGAAATTGAAACAACTTCATAAGAAAAAAACAAGCAACCCAATTAAAAAATGGGCAAAAGAGCTAAATAGGCATTTCTCAAAGGAAGATATATGAATGGCCAACAGACACATGAAAAAATGCTCAACATCACTCAGCATTCAGGAAATGCAAATCAAAACCACACTGAGATACCATCTCACCCCAGTTAGGATAGCTAATATCCAAAAGACCGTGAATGATAAATGCTGGTGAGGTTGTGGAGAAAAAGGAACTCACACACTGTTGGTGGGATGCAAAATGATGCAGCCTCTATAGAAAATTGTATGGAGGTTCCTCAAACAATTGCAGATAGATCTACCATATGACAAAGCTATTCCACTGCTGGGAATATACCAAGAGGAATGCAAATCATCAAGTCGAAGGTATACCTGTTCCCCAATATTCATTGCAGCACTCTTTACAATAGCTAAGAGTTGGATCCAGCCCAAATGTGGTGGATCAGATCAGATGAGTGGATACGGAAAATGTGGTATATCTACACAATGGAATACTACTCTGCTATAAAAAAGAATGAAATACTGCCATTTGCAATGACACGGATGGACCTAGAGAGAATCATATTAAGTGAAACAAGTCAAGCACAGAAAGAGAAATATCACATGTTCTCGCTTGTTTGTGGGAGCTAAAAATAAATAAATAAATACACAAAAAAAACTGGGGGGGGGGGCAAAAGACACAACA